GAGCACGTCTCTCAGTGCTGCAAAGTAGAAGGGTTGGTGCATGTTAATACAGCATTGAAAAGTTAATCATAGGTTTTAACACACTTCCCTTAAGTGTGAAGACCCAATACATTGGGAATTCTATTCACATCCTTTAGAAACGTTGCAACTATGGGACCATGTAATGACTTACGCCAGAGAATTCTCTGCAATGGTTGCCAAACACATCTTCAGGATTTTAATTAAAAGTCCTGTGACTTTCAGCTGAAAGGAGTAGCCAAAACATTCCGTGCTGTCAAAAGAAGGGAAAAGCCTCAATGCATCCAGTTGGAAATGATCTTCCTTTGGTTGAGAGGTTGTCCTGATGAAGCCTTCGTTAGGAAGGGCTGAACCAGCCAGGAGCAGGTCCGACTCAAGGAGCTCAACATGAGCCATGTGGGGGTTGGACAATGCCATGCTTGGAGGCTGTCTATGAAAGCTGAGAAACTGGATGGAAAATTGGAGAACCTTGGTGTCATCCTCTTTCTGCTTTTTAATAACCTTTGGAAGCAGTGGGAATTGTGGCAATGCAGAGGGTGCATCTGAATCTCAACAGAACATAAAAACTCAGGCAAAATATCACACTAATATGGCTACACAGAATTACTGGAACATGCTGCTGTCTATTAAGTGCAGAGCAGAAGGTGAACAAGCTTGGATGTGTCTGCCAATTCAGAAATGTCTGTAATTAGATCTTATCAGTTACTTAACATCCTACTTCTGTCTATATTTTGTTTACATTAAGAAACCAATTACCTCATTACTAGCCAGTACATGTCAAGCAAATACAACATAACATGCTCCCGTATTTAAAAAGTGTAATAACTACAAATAACTACAATTCATTCTTGCCAGGTTTTAGAAAAGGTAAATAAGAGTCTTTCTATGACACACAGCACTTCATTTCAGTGAAACAAGTTATCATATGAAGCATTAATATTCAGAAGCTCTGACCAGAAGTGTTTCTGAGCATAATGCAGCAATGCATTTAAATGTGAGTTTAAAACATACAAAGAATTTCAATGGCACTGATGGAACTATCCATTTATTGAAAGCATGTGCTCTGCAGCTTCTATCCAAAACTCCATTTCAGACCTTAGATTACTCCTTTTCCACATGTTATCAAGCCCCTAATATATGTTTACTTTCTCTTTTCATTTGTTTTTTGGTCAAAAACAGTCACTACAGGTAAAAAATAATTAAACTGAAAATACCTATGGCCATTAAAATTACACTAGAGGAAAAACTTCCAGAACTTTCTTATTGCATCTCTTCCATTTTAGCGTGACACAACTCAAACAGCCAATACTCAGCATTGCATTTTGCTTCAGCAGCTGAAGGTTTGAATACACCCCCCTCTTCACTTCAAGGGGCAAAGTGATTTTGATGCAGTGTTTCCAGTGAGACCTTGTGCAATGTTTGTGTACCTGTTGTGCTCTTAGTGCTTCATTATTGGCTGGAAACTGGATTAAGAGGTCACTGGATGGCTAGCATTCAAACATTTCCATTAAAGGCTCACCCTCACCCTTGAAATCTACCATTTCATCCTTGTTTCTACCGTTGTAGAACCATTGTAGAAACAAGGACACGTTCCTTTATTCTAACCAACAATAAGTGTGTCCTAGGCAGCTGAGTGATGCCAAACAACCTGAGAAGCTCAAGATCATTTAAATAGTCTGCTGAAATCTGTGAGGTGCTGTTATAACAGGGAAAGCAGAGGGAACAACAAATGCGTACATTCACCCTTGATCAAAACATGAAGTTGTATCACAAAATAAATAGCACAGCATTAGCAGGAGCAGCTCTACAGTGGTTTTGCAGAAGATGGAGCTATGGAAAGCAATCTGACTGCATTTTACGAGCAGGTAAAAAGATTAGCGTGTATAACCCAGTATTGCATTTTACATTTAATTTTTACTGGTGAATCTGTATGAATCTGGTGAATTACCACAAGTAGTGGTGATATTTAGTACAAGTAGTGAGGTTAACCATAAGGTTATTTACCAGGCTGCCCAGAGAGGTTGTGGCTGCCCCGTCCCTGGAGGTGTTCAAGGCCAGGCTGGATGGGCAGCCTGGGCTGCTATTAGATGTGGAGGTTGGTGGCCCTGCATGTGGCAGAGGGGTTGGAGCTTCATGATTCTTGAGGTCTCTTCCAACCCAAGCCTTTTTATGATTCTATGATTCTTTTCTAGATATTTTTAAAGAAAAGGGATCATTCCCAGTGACAACTGCTTGAGTCTTGTCCCTGTGCAACCACAATTAAAGGATTAAAGGATGTTTCTGCAGAAGAGATTTCAAAGGCACTCTCTTGCGAAGGTGGAGTCAGAGCCACTACTCCTAAAAATATGACTGTATTATATCTGTATTTTCCCCCAGCTTACAGAGTCCTAAAACACAAAGAACTTGCTGTTAAGGGGAACACACACGGATAGGATTAACAACAATCTCAGGACAAGATTTACTTACACAATATTTTTCTTTGAGTACTTCCTTTCATTCCCATTCACATGGGGACAGAAAACATAGTCCCTTTGGAGGTAGCAAAAATGAATTGCAGCATCCTTTTTCTATACCGCTTATCAGAACGTGATGCCAATGCCAACAAATGACAACAATTATCATCAGAGTCATGTTTGTATACCGTTATATTTCAGGTCTAATAGTAAACCTAAGAACACGTAGGTTTTCCATTTATTCACAGCACAGATGGCAGCAGCATGACTTTTCACCACCTATCCCAGCATTTGCAATCACACGTTTGTGGAAAATCTAGAGCAATTTAAAAATGATGGAAGCTATCAAGCTCGATAGCAATAATGAAGACTCCTTCAAGAAGTGTTAAAATTAGGATACTTAATAAGATTTGGAGCTTTTCCAAGGAAATTCCATAGGTAGAATACTACTTCCTATGACATGTTACAAATGACGTACAATTGAGTCATACACACAATAACGACACTCATGTCCACACCCCCATCAACACTGAAAAACTGATCTAAGCATCAAAAAGAAAATAAAGGAAGAGCTTTATAAATGTAAAGAGTGACGACTACGTCACAGAATCACAGAATCACTAAGGTTGGAAAAGGCCTATAAGATCATCCAGTCCAACCATCCACCTATCACCAATGGTTCTCACTAAACCATATCCCTCAACACAACATCCAAACGTTCCTTGAACACCTCCAGGGAAGGGGACTCCACCACCTCCCTGGGCAGCCCATTCCAGTGTCAATATCAGATCATACCAGAACTCTCTGACTCCACCTTCATAGGAGTATCTCTACATCTATTTTAACCTTAGAACTCAAAACGTAACAGAAAATCATTTTCCACTAGTTCCAGGCAATCTCTCATTCCACCACTCCAAGAATATTTAGATGTCCCCCAAGTCCACAAGGGAACACTGGCAGGAAGATGCTACTGAGTCAGAGGAAAACTCAAGAGTACTCGTGGAAGTCGTTATGATAATTGAATGGTGAAACCCACAAACCATTTCTCTTGTCAAACCATGGTAACCACAGCAACATTAGTACCATAGTCAGGTTTATTATGATATTTTGAAATAATCGATTGAAAATATAATTTCAGGGTGACAAATTAGTGCCTATGGCTAACTTAGACCTTTGAATACCCACAGGATTGCTAAGAATTTCAAATACAAACATACCTCAGTTGTTTGAAAACAGATTAAGATCATCAATTCACTCCAGATAGATTAATAAATTGTTATTATATAAGAACTGTTGAGCACTGCTCAAGTTTCTAAAATATCCATGCTATGTCTTTTCTAAGTTCTTTTTCTTTGGGTTCATTTCAGTGCTGGAGCTTTTTGCTACTGTTAATAAATTTTGTCTAATTACTCAATAGAATGTGAAATTAATTTCATTATCTGTCTTGGAATCATTGCACACAGGTGTAAAATTGCCTGCTAATGCATGGTTACATATAGGCTGCGTTTTTTCTTTTTGCTACATCACACTGGACATTTATATAGCACTGCTTTCCTCCTTTCATGGGTACACCCTCCAGTTTCACAAATATCCTCCAGATGTCGTTACACATGTTGTCTGACAATATTTATATGTATTCTATTAGAATTGGCTCAGGTCAAAGCCAGTGAGGACTGCTTTATACACCCGACCTGTACTAACTGTAATTCATGGCTCCATCAGGCTAGATGATGTAGGAAGTGTATAAAGGAATATCAAGATTTACTTCAACATCACAGCTGGATAAATATTTACTGGAGTGCAATAAATTTCCTAAGGTGACTTTGTACCATCCTGTAGAAGCTAGTAAAGAATTATATCCTTTCTAAACAACCCAATCATATGGTTCAAAACAGATTTAGGAAATCTTTTCATTCTCTACAGCAGTAACCTTTAAGAATAAATGCCATAGGGATCCACCTTTTTCTTCCCAAGTAAATTCCATACATTCATTCTTAGAGACTAAGATTAGCATATTCTGACTATTCCCAGGTTAAGTTGAAGTCCATATCTTGCTTAAAAAAAAAAACTAGCTCTGTTGTCTCTCAGTAGGAAGTCTACAGGATGACTCACAAAGTACAGGTTTGGTTTGGGGTCACACAAACGGAAAAAGATCTGCAAGTATAGTAGATAAAGCTTTCTACCCAACTGAGATCTGTGCACAACCAAAGTTCTGGAAAGTCAAAGATCATCTACTGAGTTTTGTTTAAACTAATGAAAAATCCGACAGGACTTGACTTACATAAAAACCTACTATTTGTGAATTTGTATGAAACAAAAGAGGACATTAAATATTCTGTTTGTATAACCCAACAAAATGTTTTTAGTATGCTCCTTCTGGGGCACGGACATCTCCCAAAACCATCAGTGGCTCGAGCTGATCGTAGTGATGAGAAAATGGCTATGGCAGCACAGATTCTGAACTTGCCTGAAAATAAGAAATTTAACACAATACATCTGAAAGCTTTAATTCTAAAACTGATGCCTTACCAAATATAGCCATCCGCGTTCCCTCTGGGAAAGGTTCTACCATTCTGTTTCCATTGACATGATGTTTATCTAGAAGGAAAAAAAAAAAAAAAAGTAAAAATGTAACAGAACATACACTTTCCATGAAAACACAACTGTTGTTACTCATAGTTCTATTGACACCTGATGTCTGATTTATCAAAGCTCTCCTGCACAACTCCCCAGTAACTGGGACTCTGTAGCCTATCAGCCTATTTCTCAAAAGCACAGCTCTCTACAGACCCCAGGACATAAAGTGGAGCTGAATTCCAATGCTAAGTCAAGTCAGCTGAAACCACAGTAACGCATGCATGTAGAGCACAACACATCAACACTGACTGTTACAGGTATAGCACTGATCAGGCAAGCAGACAAAGCAGGGATAAGCGAATTCTCTGACATGGTGCTCCTCCACAACAAGTTTTTCAGTGTGATCATGGATGAACCCCAAGTGCCTACCTTGAGCTGCAGTGTAATTTACACTGGGGAAGGGCATAAGACAGAAATACTATACAAATAATTTGCATAAAAGCTAAATAAGGACTGATATTTAGTCTTAAGGAATACAATGCATGCAGAAAAGTGCATATGGACAGCATTGATGGTGCACACAGTTGATGGTGCACATTGATGGTGCACAATGATGGTGCAAGACAATGGATTCTCTTTGCTCCCTTTGAAACAAAATGGCTAAGAACTGCTCTGTTTCCAAACTTCTAAATAAAATATTCCTTACATCCCAATGTACTTCTCTTTCATCTCAACTCCTCAGCATAAAGAAAACTCGAGTCCTTGTGATATCATAGGTTTATAATTATTGTACAATCAAGACTGTATGTAGAGCCTGGAACAGAGCACTCAAAGCCCCAGTTAAAATACAGAGATCCACAACAGAATATTCTCAGTCCTTTTCACTGCCATTTTCACATTCATTTCCTAATCACACTCTTCTAAGAGCTGCTGCCAACACTGGTGGAAAGGATTAAAACCGTCTGAACTGACAATACAGGTTTCTGTCCACAAAACACTTTGCAGGGAGAAAGCCAAGAGATTTTCTCAGTATTATATTTCTCCCTGTAGTACAGAATCTGGTGTGGAATAAAACAGGTCAAAAAGAGAGCACAGGACTGCCTTGCAAACTCCCTGAAAGCAATATTTTTGATTAGCAGAGAGGCATAACACAGTTCTAATCCCAGCTGGCATCAAACATTTATCAACAGGCAGTGATGGGGGGAAGCAGGGTTATCTGCAGTTGGTGCAAGAGGTCCCATGAAGACAATTGTTTACATTTAAGGAGATTGAATGCCCTGTGCCATGCAAGTCAAGAGAGGGGCTGCTGAAAGGAAATTGTTCAGAGGCTCCAGAGGGGTAGTAATATGGCCAGTGCAACACGAGGTTTCCACCTTGTTAGCCATAGCTTGCATTACAGACATGATCTATAGCCATCTGAGATGGGCAAACAGTCAGGAAAATTATGAAACATCATACAAGATCAAATAAACTAACCCTGCCCTGGTCCTGATAGCTGCCTTCATTTAAAGAGTGAATGACATACATGATGTATGATGTAGTTCTCATTTCAAATGGTAAGGCTTTCAATATATTAAAATTAGTATTAAACTTTTAGAGGTGAATAGGGCTTGAAAGAAAATAATGCTTTCAGACTTCTCAAGTCATCCTCCAATGTTGTTTCAAAGATCATAGCTAGATAAAATAATTAATTTCTTTAACATTTATGTTTTATTTTACATTTTTAGTGTTCCCTGCCCTCTGCCTAGGTGCATTAAATAGCAAAATAAAATAAAATAAAATAAAAATAAATAAACAAAATTTACAAGGGCTTCCACGAAACATAAATTCTACCTTAGGAAGAAAGAAAATACATATTGGTATAAAGATTTTCTCAACAAAAAAAAAAAAAATTCAAACAATATTGCCATTTGGATTTTTTTACTGCTTTAATTCTCCTTTACAAGTTGGATCGAGGAGCTCCAGAAAATCAGCAAAACCTTGGCCCTGTGGAATTAGAAAAAAAATCTGACAGGCTTCCCATAACTTGCCAACAGAAACAATATATTGCATTTCCAAGTCATTGTCATTCCAGAGATGCAGGCTTACAACATATAAAATAGAAAGTACAGAGGCTAGCAGTGAACATATGGCTGGCTATGAAAGTCAACTTCAGCTTCCTGGTGGTGAAAAATAGGTCTTACCTTAATACAGTTGGTATTTTAAGAGGTAATTCTTCAATGGACTACACAGCCTTCAGGCACTTGGAAAAGAAGAGCTGTGAGGACATGGATGTCTTATAACATCATCATGATCCTCTTGACCCTTATGATTTCAACAGAAAGCCGATTGGTAAGGGAAAACTTTTTCTTAAAATTGATATTCAGGCTGATAGCATTTTTGTCTACATAATTTCTCAACGAAGCAATGTGGGACTTTTACCAAATGCTGCTCTAGCTTCAACAGCAGGAATTCTCTACCATTTTTCAAACTAAGTCTGAGAGATATCTGAAACATACTGTGCTCCCTGCTGAACAGAAATAGTATGCACTGAAAGCAACACATATCCTGGAGGTCTTGACATTCAACTTTAGCTTCAGGCAAAATCTGCTGTAGAGATACACAGTTTTGGGCCATTTCTCCTGAGATGCTCTGGATTTTTATGGAAATAATCTTTAGACTTCTTTTTTTCTGTCTGTGAAACAGCATAATATATGGAAAAATAATCAAAAGTTGCTCAGTAGAATAATCAAAAGTTGCTCAGGTCTGCAGTACTTCTTTAGCATCATTCAGTCTTTGAAGTCTAACACTGAACAATTTCTAACATAGTCCTACAACTGTCCTTTGCTAAAGATTGACTGAACTCAAGTAAAGTTAAATGCATGGATTAGAAAGACAGAATGGCTCAGGTTGGAAGGGACCTCAAGGATCATCAAGTTCTAACTGCCCTGCTGCAGGCAGACTGCCAGTCACTAGATCAAGTACTAGATAAAGTGCCCAGGGCCCCATCCATCCCTTGGACACCTCCAGGGACGGGGCATCCACAACCTCTCTGGGCAGCCTGTTCCCACCCCTCATCACTCTTCCAGTGAAAAACTTTCCTAACATCTAACCCAAATCTCCCTTCCTTTAGTTTAAAACCATTCCCCCTTGCCCAATGACTGCTTACCCATGTAAAACATTGACTTCCCTCCTGTTTATAATCTCCGTTTAAATACTGGAAGGCCATAATAAAGTCTCCCCACAGTCTTCTTTTCTCTAGACTGAACAAGCCCAGCTCTTTCAGTCTGTCTTCATAGGACAGGTGCTCCAGCCCTCTGATTACCTTTGTGGCCCTCCTCTGGACCCTCTCCAAAAGCCCAACATCTTTTCTGTATTGAGGGCCCCAGTCTGGGTGCAATACTCCAGATGAGGCCTCACAAGGGCAGAGTACAGAGGGTCAATCACTTCCCTCGCCCTCACTCCTGTGATGCAGCCCAGGATACCGTTGGCCATCTGGGCTTCAAGGGCACACTACTGGTTCATGAAAAGTTTTTTACCTACCTGGACTCCTTTCACAGCAGGGTTACTCCCAGTTCTTCTCCTAGTCTGTGTTTGGGATTAACTTGACCTAAGTGCAAAACCTTCCACTTCACTTTGTTGAGCCTCAATAGGTTCACAAAGGCCCACCTTCTGAGTTTATCAAGGTCCTTCTGTATGGCATTCCTTCTTTCTGCCATATCAGCTGCACCACTCAACTTGATGTTATCAGCAAACTTGCTGAGGGTGCATTCAATCCCATCATCTATGGTAAATGAAGATGGTAAATAAAGATGGTAAAGAGTACCAGTCATAAGATAGAACCTCGGGGGACACCGCTCATCACCAGCCTCTACCTGGACACAGAGTGACAGACCGCAAACCTCTGGCTGCGACTTTCCAACCAGTTCCTTACCCACCAAATAGTCCACCCTTAAAATCCACATCTCTCCAATTTAGGATGTGGTGGGAGACCATGTCAAAGACCTTGCAAAAGTCCAGGTAAATGACATTACTTGCCTTCCCTTTGTCCACCAATGCTGTCACTCCATTACAGAAGGCCACTAGATTGGTCAGGTACAGTCATCCCTTGGTGCTGTGCTGGCTGCCTCAGATCACCTTCTCATCTCTTAGATGCCTTAACGTGTCTTCCAGGAGGATCTGTTCCATGATCTTCCCAGGTACAAAGCTGAGGCTCATCAGTCTGTAGTTCCCCAGATCTTTCTTCCTCCCCTTCTAATAAATGAAACGACGTTTCCCTTTCTCCAGTCACTGGGAATTTTGCCTGAGAGCCACAACTTTTCAAGAGCAGCTCAGCAGCCGCACCAGCCAGCTCCCTGGGCTGCTGTCAGCCCAATAGATTTGCACAGATTCAGCCTCATGCTGTAGTCTTGGACTTGTTCTGTCCTTACAGTGAGGGGTACTTTGCTCCCCCAGTTCTCACCCGGAGGTTCAGAAGTGTGAGGTTCAGGGACATGAAAAATACGAGACTCCTGGCAGCCAATGCAGTCTGAAGCAAAGAACTCATTGATTATCTCAGCCTCATCTGCTGTAGACAGTTCTCCTCTCTCACTTTTCAGGGGAGGTACACTCTCTTTAGCCTGTCTATTCTGACCAATGTACTACAGAACCTCTTCTCGTTGTTTTCAGTAACCCTTCCCAAGTTCAGTTCCATCCAGGCCCTGGCCTTCCTAATTCTATCTCTGTATGTCTGGACTGTACCCTGTATTCTTCCTAGGTGACACGTCCTTGTTTCCATTGCCTGTACTTGCCCTTCTTTTCCCTCATGTTGACCAGCAGGTGCTTGCCAAGCCATGCCAGTTTCCTGCCCCCTCTGCCTGCAGTAGGCAATATCTGTCCTAGTAAGCCATTAAAATAAACAAGTCCTATCTAGAAACTATTTGAGAGTGTGTTAATTAGCCTAACCAAAATCACATTATACCCTGTCTTAGCAATCTACCAGTATGGACAACCAAGTTCCTGTGCCTAGACCTGTTCTTGGGAACATTTTAATTTATTAGCAT